CCCCAAAACCCCAAAACCCCAAAACCCCAAAACCCCAGAAATTTTTATATAAATTGAACTTAATGGACAAACTTGATCAGTTGGATGATGCACTGCGCAAGAAAAATTACCATGTGATAGAGGCAGAAGATAGATGTGATACTATTCCTGATTTAGAATACTATCAAAAACAATTCATGCTTGGAGCCAAGAACATCTGCATGCAGTATTTCAATAAAAGACCATACCAACTAAATAAAGAAGAATATAAATAAGTGGCTGGTTAAATGCTTTTCTACCTACGATACGATTGATACAACATTCAAGCTAAAAGAAATGGTGAACATCAAGACCAAGGTTGCCATAGATACTCATAGAAGATATACAGGAAATGACCTAGATGATCTTAAGGATATGAATATGAGCATTCTAGAAAATCTGATAGATAGGAGGTCCAGCATTAACAAAGTCTATAAACTATTCTTCCTGAGGTACCTCAGCCCTCGAATGAGGGAAACTATTTGGAAAGGTATCCTCCTGGATCAAGCTACAGTAAAAGAATATGAAAAGAACATCACTGAAGATAAGAGTTACACTGTTTCAAAAGATGAAATTTATATCCTAAAAGTCATCCAGTCTATTTTGAAAGATGATTTTCATAACTTTGGGAATGATTATGACCTCATCCTCCTTGTAAAAGCAATGATGATTTACGCTGCTGAGTACCTTAACACATATCTGCAAGACTTTCACTATTACATGCTATTTCCTTTACTGCAAACCTTCAAGAGTTATAGAACTTACACAAGAGGAAAACTCTTGATGTCATTTTACCTGAGCTTCTTGAAAGTTCGGATGCAAATCGTTGATGAAGTTAACGAAAAGGATGAAACTGTCTATGAAGCTTATATCAATCACATTATTGAGAATCTTCAGAAATATCTAGAAGAAATCGATCCTGAATTAAATAAGCAATTTACTGATCTTTTATCTATTGACGATGAAGCAATTAAGACTTATCACATGGATCTCTTGGTGAGCACAAGAGGAGAAAATAACCTTGCTAACCTTGATCTCAGAATGACCAAGCAAAAGGTCATCTTTGGGGAGCTCCTCCGAGGATACATCGAAAGATGTAGTGTTGGGTTTGTCAACGTTAAAGTCTCCTGAGTTATCTGGGATTTCATCTTACTAAAGGAAAATAAGTCTAAAGAGGATCTTTTCATCACATTTGCTTTGATCCTCAAAATTATCAAGCAAGATGTACTTGATTGAAATAATATAATCGACCTTGAAAGAGTCTTTAGAGCCAAAGCTATTTTGATAGATGATTATGATTTCTTCTGAAATATATTTGACTATAGTAAAGACAAGAACTGGAAAGATGCCTTTAGCCTCCTTGATGGAGAGTCCTTAAGAGCCAACTTCATGAGTATTGATAGAGTTAGAGCAGATCACGAAGCCGAGAAAATCAGAGAATATGAAGAGCAAAAGGCTAAAGAAGCAGCTGAACTTAACCTTCCAATGAACCCTTCCTTCAGTAAGATCGTATTTGTAATCCATAGATCCGATGGCTCCTCCAAGTACTCAAGGTGGTTTACCAGACTCTCAACCAATGCCTACACATAAGCCCATTCTGACACAGTCTGCATCAAATATGAATAAAGCAATTGGATAATGCTCCTCAAACCATGCAGAATAACCCAAAGCCAGGGCCATCTGCGATGGCTCCTGGAGGGTTAGGAGAGACTCCTGCATCCCAGCCCCCAGCTGAAGGTATGAGTGGAGCCCAAAACCCTCAAACAAGCATTTACAAGCCAACTTTAAAACCCCCATCAAGAACTTAATTTCAACCAAGAGTGGTCTACTTGGGGTTTTGGGGTTTTGGGGTTTTGGGGTTTTGGGG